AGAACAGAGTTGTAAGAAGCTGAGGCACAGACCAAAAAGATGAGAATCGAGGCTTAGATTCTCCAAGTACTCATAGACCAAGATCTTCTCCCCATCATCAACACAACAACCGAGAAGCCGGACAAGGTTTATGTGTTGAAGCTTTGCAATCAGCCGAACCTCGTTCATGAACTCATTAGTCCCTTGAGCTGACATTTGTGACAGTCTTTTTACCGCGATTTCTTGTCCGTCGGGTAACCTTCCCTGTTAAGGTTTATTTCATAAGCTATACATACCCAACCCCTTTGTGTATACTTTCAGAGTGATTCATAGTTTTTACCTTGTAAACAATACCAAAACCACCTTCTCCGAGTTTGTTGCAATCAGAGAAATTGTCGGTGGCCGTGACAATGGCTTCAAACTCCATCAATGGAAGTTCCAAATCTTCTATATCGTTCTCTCCAGAAAAATGTCTCTTTCTTGGTACTACCATTCCATTTATTAGATATTCCTGGTTTCTTTCTTGATACACTGTTTTCATTCGGACACTAACACAATCAAGACATAAAATATATATTCACCTAAAATCAAAGAAGGTGGAGGTTATTAATGTTGTACCTATAGCTATAGGTGTTGCAAGTGCTCTTGCTCGCTTCTGTCTCCTTTTCCAAAAGTACAACGTAATCAAACTCATAAGAAGGATAAAGCTGACTCCAGTACTCCAACCTATGATTATTTTATTTCTGTTTCTGTTTTTGTGCGCACCTGCCCACAAAAAAAGTGAGTGAAAGCTTAGTTCTAGCTTAACAAATTTGAATCTTACCACTTTGATTTCAATCACGATTGGTTTTAGAAGCAAAATTATTTGGTTTCTCCACATCTCAAGAGATTAGACAAAATTTAGTTCGTCGTCCCCGTTTTTTTTTAATAAAATTATGCCAATGTAGCTTCTAAACGTGGCTTCATGAGTTATCATTTTTATCATCCTCTTTTTCTTGTATGACTTTTTATTTATTTTTATTTTAACTGTATTCTCTGTATATGACTTGGTGGGTAGAATTTTTTCAAATCTCTAATAAAACTCACAAGCGCAACTCACAACCCTATCGTATGTGCTGAATATATTTTTCTTCCAATATTTCTACCGTGTTCATAATCAATATACACTAGTAGCTCGCACCTTGTATGGATAAAACTCATGTTTATATAGTTTTATCAAAATAATAATATAAAATAATGATAAGTATATAAAATCCTTATCCTTAGCTATAATTAATTTGATATTTAATTAATAAATTTTAAAACATTTATATATGATGGTTAACTATTTAAAAAAATATTTTTTTTAATTAAATATTTTTTTTTTCAAATAATTATATAGTTAATACGAGTTTATTATATTTATATCTTTGAAATTTTCTTTTCATCAGATTTGGAATTTGACACAATTGCTTTATTATTTATTGATTTAGTTATATAAATCAATTGATATAAAATCAAATTATTTTTTATTGTTTAAATAAATTTACCTAAAAAATTTTAGCTTTCAAAATATGTTAAGTTTTGAAGAGACCAAATTATTCAATATTTTTGTTTTTCTATTTTTGTTGACGACCACAAAAATCTCTATTTTTGTTATATATATATATATATAGAATTTTTTTTTTCAACCGAAAATAAAATCATATAATAAAATGAGTCATGTTTTCATATATTTTTATGAATTTTTGATTACGGGTTTCAATATCTCTATTGCTTAATATATTTAGAATTGACATATCCGGAATTAGATGCTTGCATCTCATATCCGGATTTCCTATTATCATATTGTATATGATTTAAGGAGAGCGAACTAACCAAGATCAGCAGCATCCAGTCTGACGTAAAGATCTTGGCCACCGACAGCATAGTTCCGGATATCAACGGGCACTCCGCTCCACATCACACAACCTACGCCACTTCGGACATCCATATTCGCATACGCCGTACAATTACAATCCCTACGGCATCTCTCTTCACATTTTTTCAATCCAATTACCCGATCCACAATCGCCGTCATAGTATCCGGCAGCTTCATATTCTTTAGCCGCAAAAACCCATCTCCGCTGCACTTTAGTTGTGTCCTCACACACCCACCTGATCTGTCTCTCAAGTCCCACTGCTTCGGGTTCTTGGGATCGAACCCTCCTAAACAATTACACACTGGTGACGTGTTAACGTCACAGTAAGTGTAAGGCCCACACCTCTGGTACAAATCGCACTCATCCGTTGGTGAAGTCCAGAACTCGCTCCATCCCCATGATGGAGGGTTCCACGTATATCGTTGAAAATCCCCTGAGGAACTCACTGTCAATCTCGAGTATATGCTCTGGTTGGTCATTAAGAACGTGTAAGAGACCTCCTCACTGCTCTCCGTGAAATTGTAAACCATGTAATTTAAATTTCGGTCCTCCGGTATGCCACTAAACTGGTATCCATCCCACGGACCACTCCGGTGTTTTTCAAAGTCTGTTTGCCACAGAAAAAATTCAGGCAATCCCCTTAGTAATCCCCGCTTGAAGGATCATTTGGGGATCTCCAGGATCTAAGGAATCTATTGAGCCCTGTTTTGAGATCCCAACCAAGTTTCATCCCCGGAAGTAAAGTATCTGTCGGGAAATCAAAACTCTGCCACAAGAATCCACTTGGGTCGTCGTTGTTGAAGTATCTCATCACAAAATTTCCGTTAGGACGAAGCTCTGCCACCACCGGAGCTCTCACATTTCCTTTGGAAAGATTCGTCGACCAAACAGAGTTATTTGAGTGATCGAGGAGGACGAGATTCATGTTGAAGATTTTGAGGGTTCCAATGGAAGTAGAGAGAGGATTGTCTCTGTTGGCAAACCAAGCGTAGGTTCTCTGGGCGACCTTCTTATACCATATTCCGAGATACCAACGAGAACGTGCCGAGGGTTTGAAGAAACCAAGCTCGAACACTTCACCTCGAGATACAATGGTTCGGTTGTTTGAGATTGTTAGAGATTCCGTAGACGACAAAATGTTGACATCGGTCGAAAGGGCAGGATGAAATAGAATCAACACAAAGAATACGAGCAAGAAGGAGAAGGTGTAAGAATGGTGGTAGATGTTTCGTATACCTCTCATCTCTCTCCACCACTGCTTTCTTATTCTTTTTTCATTTTATATTGATCTAAGCCAGCGAAAGTAGTTTCTGTTTTGAGCTGCATACATTTATATCGTAATCCTGAGTTACTATCTCATGGAAATCCGAAAAACATTTATTATCACGAACCTAGCAGACAAGCAAAATGTTGTGTTCCATACTCCATGACTTTTTCATCCCGTCAATTAATTCATTTCCACAAACTTTTATGATTGGTCAACAAGCTTTTAGATCTACACGTGAATCATTTCTCACGCTGCCAACATAACATAGGGTGTTCAGCAAGTGTGGTGTTCAACAATTGCATCCTTTTGATACATTCAATGTAAGGTAGAAAATTATAGTACCTTTTGTTCAACAATTTTATAAAATTAAAGAATCATTGGACTAGTGGAATGTACTAGAGTTGAATTTGCTTCTTAACCAAAAGATCAGAATTGAATTTGGCTTAACTTTTTAACCACAAAAATGGCTTATCTTAAACTGATCATTTGTATCAAGCAAAATTTATTTAACAAAACTAATCGAATTGTAAATCAAATTATATGGTTTTGTTTCGTATATTCAATCAACCCGTAAACAAACCAAACCGAACATGCACAAATTGAATTATAATGAGCAAGTGATTTTTTTTAGTTTCTCAATTTTGCTAAGAATACAAATTTTTTAAATCAAATGTGTCAACAAGTTTTCAAACCAAATCTGAGCCAAAATTGGCAATAAAGCTAAACTCGAATCGAATCCAAACAACTGACAAATGACATTCAGTTTTACAGTTTCTATTTGCAGTAAATTAAAAATTCTAAATCCAAAAAAATATCAAAGTGATAAGAACTAGATTAGATACCCATATATATTCGAAAAATCTTTTATGTGTACTTTATTAAGTTTCATATACGTTAACATTATAACATTAGTTGAGGTTTCCAAAGGCTGGTGGTCTCTCTAGTCTCCACTTTTCATCATGCAACCTCTTTAAGATTCGTGTTTCAATTCCCAACATAGAACTATTAGCCCTCAATTAGTTTCCGTTGATTTCTATGTTTCCATATAGTAATATTTTTATAATCGTTTTTCTCAACAACAAAAGAAAGTATAATCGTAGCCTAAAACTTTTTTGATAAAGACTACTAAACCATTCTGATTGTAATTCATTACAAACGATTGCATAGTATAACTAATTATAAATATAAGCAATACAAAAAATACATTTAAAATTAAATTTGTTTTTATTAAAAACTATTAAAGAACAATACAATTACATACAGTTTTCTTTCTTTACAATACAATTACATACAGTTTTCTTTCTTTCTTTTTTTCTGTACGAAACATACAGTTTTCTTCATTATAAAAATAATAATAATAACATACAGTTTTCTATAAACTGGGCAATTTATAAAAATTGTGAAAATCCAACCTAGGATAAACACGCAGTTGTAAGCGCCATATTCAACGATTCATAACATCATTTGTTTGCCTCGTTTTAACCATTTATTTTATCCCTTTATTCTATATATGTCCATCTAAACTAAGGAAGCGATTGAACCTCCAACCGCCTCAAATTATGTTACATTGTTACCAATCAAATCTTCTACATATTTATGTAGTTCTCGCACTACGTCGACTCGGTTTTTTAAACTTTCACAAATAACCAAAGTCAACGCTCCGGAAATGGCTTTCAACTGAACATATATGCTCACTATGATTCCACTACTCATCTCATACTCACAAGAAGCTTTCTATTTAATTATACCCTATAATCAAATTGGATTACATCCTCTATATTTAAATACATAAACTTACTATAGTCTATAGTATGAATGTTTTCTATTACAAATTGTACAACTCTACCCTCAAAGTACGACTCAAATCCTACTAAACAACAAACTTTATTGCATATTATGTCAAACCCTATACATAATAACATATTTGCCACCACGGGTTGCCCAAGAAAACATTTATAGAGTACAAAATACAAGAAAAACCAAAATCATGTAGTAAAACTTTGATTATAAGACTAACAGAATATAACAGTACGCATTCAAACTACCGAGGGTCAATGACAGAAACAGTGATTTGGTTCACTGTCCAAGATTCATTGTCACGCTGTTTACTCGACGATGAATCAGTTTCAAAAGGACTTCTACCAACGCAATAACCCGGCGGTTTAGGATAAGGAATAGCCGTTGTTTCGCTTCCGAGCATTAAAACCACCGATGACATCATTGGTCTGTCCTCTGCACGTTCTTGAACACACAAGAGACCAATTTGTATGCATCTTAGGATTTCATGTGGCCGAAATGTTGATGATGAGTCTACGGTTATTGGATCTACAATCTCTACTCCTTTTCCTTCTTTCCAGTTCCTCCACACCTGTAAAATAAAGATTCGATATTTTATGTGTGTTACCATCAGGTTTTGAGTGCGAAACAAGATCTAGTTTAATTAAGAGGTTTTAAGCTTACACAACCAAGAAGATTAAGGTCACGGTTCGCGTTGTAGAATCCTTTGTTTCTCTTGCCGCTTATAATTTCAAGAAGCAAGACCCCAAAACTGAAAACATCCGACTTCACCGAGAATATACCATCCATTGCATATTCTGGAGACATGTAGCCGCTGCGTAACGGAGATTGAACTCATGTGTAATGATATAAAAAAGAAAAAAAAAATTGGATTAAAAACGAAAAGCTCTTTGCTGTGTTGGTTAATGGTTGCTTACTAAGTTCCGACAACCTTCCTCGTAATAGCTTCTGTCTCATCCCGTCCAAAGATCCGAGCCATCCCGAAATCCGAGATCTTTGGAGTCATATCTTTATCAAGCAAGACGTTGCTTGCTTTTAAGTCTCTATGGATGATCCTAAACCGTGAATCTTGATGAAGATATAGAAGTCCTCGAGCAATACCATTGATAATATCAAATTTCTTTTGCCAATTTAAGTTAGAACGTCGGGTTTTATCTACAAATCAACCACAACCAAAAACGTTTTAACTTATTTTCAAAATAGTTCTATTGTTAGAACAGAGGTGTATTGAGTCACTAACCAAAGAGATGAGAATCAAGGCTTAGATTCTCCAAGTACTCATAGATCAACATCTTCTCATCACCATCAACGCAACAGCCAAGAAGACGGACAAGGTTTATGTGCTGAAGCCTTGCAATTAGTTTCACCTCGTTCTTGAACTCATCAGTCCCTTGAACTGACATTTTTGATAGTCTTTTTACCGCAATTTCTTGCCCGTCAAGTAACCTTCCCTGTTACCACACATTTGTTTACACAATGAAATCTTATCCAACGATAGACTCTGACAAAAGTACCATTCATTTTACCTTGTAAACTATACCGAAACCACCTTGACCGAGCTTGTTGGCGTTAGAAAAATTGTTTGTGGCCATGGCAACAGCGTCAAACTCCATCAGTGGCAATTCAAGATCCTCTGTTTTGTTTTCTCTGGATATATGTCTCCTACTTGATATTACCACTTCGTTCATCAGTAAATCTCGGCTTCTCACTTGATCATCTGTTTCATTCAGACACACACACACACAAATATATATGTGTCAAGGTACTATATGATTATCAAAAATTTACATACAAATATAAAGGAATTGAAAGCTACTGATTTACCAAACGGTGTTTCAATTGCTATTGATCGCTTCTGCTTCCTTTTCCAAAAGCAGAAGATGATGTAGCTAAAAAGAAGCAACATGCTCACTCCAATACTCGAACCTATGATTTTTGCATTTCTGTTTTTCTTGTCCTCTGATGTAGTGAAAGAGATAGCAATTGTTAATAACTACCTGGCTGCTGACGTGGCTTAATGAGTCATCATAACATCACTTGTTACACATAAAAAGAACTATCATTTAGGATTAGATAACACAAGTGGAAGAAAACACAAGTTATGTGATCCATACTAATCTTGAGATAGATAAAAAAAATTTCCTTTTGTGAATTTAGCTAAAATTAAACCAATCTTGAGATAGATAACTTTTGCGAATAATAGTAACCAAATTAAATGTGCCACTAACCACTGCAGTTAAATACGACAATCGACCATTAGAAAGTTTTTATAGAAGATTAAAGTCCAAAGGATTTCTTTACCAAAAAAAAAGTTCTTAATGTTATCAAAAATCTAGGCAGACGGAATATTTATTGGAAGAAAACACAAGTTATGTGATAACACAAGTGGAAGAAAACACAAGTTATGTGATCCATACTAATCTTGAGATAGATAAAAAAAAATTCCTTTTGTGAATTTAGCTAAAATTAAACCAATCTTGAGATAGATAACTTTTGCGAATAATAGTAACCAAATTAAATGTGCCACTAACCACTGCAGTTAAATACGACAATCGACCATTAGCAAGTTTTTATAGAAGATTAAAGTCCAAAGGATTTCTTTACCAAAAAAAAAGTTCTTAATGTTATCAAAAATCTAGGCAGACGGAATATTTATTGTTTGATAATGTACTTAATAGAGTCAAATGTTTTCAGATCTGTATATGCAATGACGAAGTCACCAAATACGTCAATATCTCAATCAAGTTTCAGAGGTGGAAAAAGAAAACTAAAAAAGTTTGGTTAAATTCAAAGTCTGTTAAACAATAACAATGTAACTTTGACTTGCAATTTTCAACACAAGTATCATGTACTACCGAACAAAAGAAAAACGCATAATAATTATTTCCTTTTGTTTTTTGTTTTTGGAAGCAAATGCATTATTCACAACTCACAAGGCAAATTAATTAACAATTCCTTTCTTCTTTCTACTGCAATACTACTCCCGTCTAAGCCGTACAAGAATTCGTGTCCGAAGAATACTCGCTTTAGGCCCGAAGGCCCATTCGACCAATCCGCGTCCGCGTCCGTGCCCGGCCCGGCCCGGCTTGGCTTTTCAGCTTTGAACCAATCATTTTTAATATCTGTCGGGTTTACTCGGCCAGGAGGTGTACATGATGTCTTGAACCACCCAGATTTTGATGTAAACCGAGACAACAGTTATCGCGCAGCAACATTTTCTCGTAGGACTTGAGTTCTCTATTGTGTTCATTTTGGCCTTGAACATTCCTGATTTCATGAGTGAACTTGGAGAATATAGCCTTCCTTTCATTCTCCAAGAAACGGCCCCATTTCACACTCATTAGGTGATCTGCCATTAGTTTCGTTTTCTAAGAAGTAACCTGTAATACTTCACGAATATCTCAAAACTATGGAATCATTAAAAGCTACAGCTTAGCCTTAACACTCAAAGGTAACACTGTTTATCATCTTAGGAACTGGGAATGAACATAGTTTCACAGTGCTCACTTCTGAATCTGCTTGATTTCGTTTTCTCTTTGAACCTAGATCTTGGGATCTCCAGTCACATAGGTGGGGTTACCATCATGCGTCACTTTTATCTATAGGCTTTAAACCCATTCCTCTTGATGATTTAACAACTTGATCTCGTGCCAGACTTTTCGTAAAAGGGTCTGCTAAGTTTTCAGCTGATTTGATGTAATCTATCGTTAGTACACCAGTCGAGATCAAATGTCTAATGGTTTTGTGTCGTCTTCTAATATGACGAGATTTACCATTATAAAGCTTATTCAGTGCCCGAGATATAGCCGACTGACTATCACAATGTACACGTAATGCGGGCACTGACTTTTCCCACATAGGGATATCTTCCAAAAAATTCCGAAGCCACTCTGCTTCCTCTGCGGCTTTGTCTAGCGCTATAAACTCAGATTCCATGGTTGATCTGGCCAACAGAGTCTGTTTGGAAGATTTCCAGGATACGGCTGCACCTCCAAGTGTAAAGACATATCCACTCGTCGATTTCGAATTCTTAGAATCTGAAATCCAGTTGGCATCACTATAGCCTTCTAGGACTGCTGGTTCTTTACCGTAGTGCAACCCATAACTTTTGGTGTATCGAAGATAATTCAATACTCTAGTTATGGCCTTCCAGTGATTATGGCCTGGATTACTTGTGTAGCGACTAAGTACATTTACTGAGTGTGCTAAATCGGGTCTAGTGCAGTTTGTTAAGTACATAAGACTTCTGATTACTCTTGCATATTCCACTTGTGACACTGATTCACCCGAATTTTTCGTCAAGTGAATATGAGGGTCAGCTGGAGTTTTTGCAACTCCATTTGAGTAGTTCTTAAACCGCTCAAGAATTTTTTCAGCATAATGTTCTTGGGACAAGATTATTCCATCCGAGTGTCTTATAATTCTAACTCCTAGAATCACATTGGCTAATCCCATGTCTTTCATATCGAACTTGCTATTGAGCAAATTTTTAGTTCGATTGATCATGTCTTTATTGCTCCCAATAATGAGCATGTCATCAACGTATAAGCAGAGCAAAACATACCTGTGAGGAGTATTTTTGATGTATATACATTTATCACATTCGTTAATGCTGAAACCATTTGACATCATTACATTGTCAAATTTTTCATGCCATTGTTTTGGAGCTTGTTTGAGTCCATACAATGATTTAACAAGTCTACAGACTTTGTTTTCTTGTCCTGGGACAACAAACCCTTCAGGTTGTTTCATGTAAATTTCCTCTTCTAAATCACCATTTAGAAATGCAGTTTTAACATCCATTTGATGGATATCTAGATCTCTCAGTGCTGCAATTCCAATCAGCATTCTGATTGAATTTATTCTCGTTACCGGAGAATATGTGTCAAAGAAATCTATACCTTCTTTTTGTCTAAATCCTTGCACTACAAGCCTAGCCTTGTATTTGTCTATTGATCCATCGGTTTTCAACTTTGTTTTGAAAATCCATCTACACCCTAGAGCTTTAAACCCTTGTGGTAGATCGGTTATCTCGTAAGTGTGATTTTGTCTAATTGAGTCCATCTCACTATTGACAGCTTCTTTCCAAAGAGGACCATCTGGCGTTGACATTGCTTCTGTAAAGGTTCTTGTTCATTTTCAGCTAAGAAAACTACTAAGAACTCAGAACCAAATGTTTTTTCCTTACGAGTTCTTTTACTCCGTCTAAGTTCTTTTTCTTTTTCCTCGTCATTAATAGCAGTGCCCGAAGTGCTTGCTTCATTTCCAGAAGTAGAGGTATCTCGTTGATCACGAGATCGTTTATTGCTATCTCTATCCTTGCATGGAAACACATTCTCAAAGAATGAAGCATTTCTTGACTCCATTATTGTATTCACATGAATATCTGGTATATCTGATTTATGTACCAGAAATCGATAGGCACTACTATTATGAGCATATCCGATGAAAATGCAATCTACCGTTTTAGGTCCAATTGTGACCTTTTTCGGAGGTGGAGCTGCAATTTTTGCCAGACACCCCCACACTTTTAAGTATTTATAAGAAGGTACTCTTCTTTTCCAAAGTTCATATGGGGTTTTTCCCGTAACTTTATGTGGTATTTTGTTGAGGATATAATTTTTGGTAAGCAAAGCTTCCCCACACATGTTCTGGGGTAACCCAGATTCCTGCAACATTGCATTCATCATTTCTTTTAGAGTTCTATTTTTTCGTTCTGCAACTCCGTTAGACTCTGGTGAATAAGGAGCGGTAGTTTGATGAATAATGCCATGTTCCCTACAGAACGCATTAAAAGGTTCATCATATTCTCCTCCTCTATCACTTCGAACTATTTTAATAGTTTTATTATGTTGGTTTTCCACTTCCAACTTATATTCTTTGAATTTCTCCAAAGCTTCATTTTTACTGCTTAGTAGATATACGTAGCAATATCTTGTGCAATCATCTGAAGGTTACAAAATACTTCTTTCCACCTCTACTTTGCACATATTTTAAGTCACATAAATCAGTGTGAATTAAACTTAGAGGTTCAGTTGTTCTTTCCACATTAGGTGATGGTGTTTTAGTGAGTTTAGCTTGAACACAAATCTCACATTTGTCTTTACTTATTTTGTGTTTATGAATCATATTCATGTTCATCAATCTACTCATAGTTTTGAAGTTAACATGTCCTAAACGTTCATGCCATAAAGTAAAAGACTCAGACAAATAAGCAACTGGTTTCTTATTCTCATTAATCTTCGAGGTGGAAGCCTCGGTTACAACATCTCTGCGAATAACAGCTTCAACACACATCTTAAAGAGACCATCAGTAGCAAACCCTTTCCCCAGATACATCCCATTCTTGGATATCACCAGCTTATCCGCATCTAACTTAATGGTAAATCCATGCTTACACATGAGAGATCCAGAGATCAAATTCTTGCGCATGTCAGGCACATGGACCACATTTGTCAGGGTGAGCTCACGTCCAGAGGTAAGCTTCAGAACAACTTTCCCATAACCTTCAATCTTTGATGTTGCAGAGTTTCCCATAAAGAGTTTTTCGTCACTCTTATTCTTGGTGTAGGCAGAAAACATTGACCTGTCCAAGCAAATGTGTCTGGTTGCACCAGTATCGAACCACCAAGTCTTGGGATGACTCTCAGCAACATTTGCCTCAGTGATCATTGCACACATGTCTGGATAGGCCATATTTGCTTCATTCTTCTTTGGAGCCTTTTTGCTGCGACACTCAAAGGATTTGTGGCCTGTTTTGCCACAATTGTGACATGTTCCAGCGAACTTTTGTGAGCTTTCACCACCACCAGATTTCTTCTTTTTAAACTTCTGTGAGTTCTGTGGTGGTACTTTGCCCTTTCCTTTGTCTTGGCGTCCTTTGTTCTGGCGCCCTTTGTGTTGGTGTTCCACCACATTCGCATTGGGTTCGCGAATTTCCACACCTACTCCGAGATTCTTTCGGTTTGTTGACTCCATACGGAGCTTCATGGTTAGATCTTCAAGACTCATCCACTTTTTCTTCAGCTTCAGATAGTTTTTGAAGATCGTCCAGTTAGGTGGAAGCTTCTCAATGATGCATGCGACCTGAAAGGTCTCACACAAACTCATCCCCTCAGCATGGATTTCATGGAGTAGAGTTTGTACTTCTCCCACTTGATCCATTATTGGTCTGGAATCCACCATTTTGTAATTTAGAAATTTCGCCACAGCATATTTCTGAGATCCAGCATCTTCCGTGCGGTACTTCTTGTCTAGAGAATCCCATAGTTCTTTAGACGTCTCAACATTGCTATACACATTGAAAAGTGCATCAGCAAGCCGACTCTGAATGTATCCTTTGCACAAGAAGTCCCCGTGTTCCCATGCTAACTTGCTCGCAAGTGCATAAGCATCATCATTATCTGATGAGAGAATAGGTTTCTCTTCACGGGTGTATTTTTCCAGCTTTAGTGTGGCCAGATAGAAGAACATCTTCTTCTGCCACATCTTAAAGTTGCTGCCATCGAATTTGTCGGGAAGGACAGCTACTGGAGTTACAGCTAGCATCTGAACCGATTGATACTGTCCAGTGACCGCAGTTTGGACAGTAGCAGAGATCGGAGGTGGGATAGCCACAGTCACTAGTGGGAAAGTCCCAAACTGGATCTGTTCAGTCCCAAAAAGGATCTGTTCAGTCCCAACAGTGGTAGTCTGATCAACTGAGGAGACATTGAGAGTTTCGTTTTCCATTTCTGAAAAGAAACACAATCCGCAGATTAGAAATGATTTTAAGAAGTATACAAAATTTAAAATATAATATGTATACTAATCACACTTTTCAGAGTAGAAACAAATTTAAGAAATTCAATTTATATGATATTTATAATATTTTAATATTTAAAAAAAAATCCAACTCAAATCGCTATCATGTAAGATCGATAAGCACCACAACCATGCGTTTTTTATTTATTTCAAACCTCCAATGAGAGTTCGATCACAGGTGGGTTACGATTAGAGATGGAGAGCAATAAAAAACGTTTAAAGAAAAATACTCGTATCCAATCCGTTCAATGTTTATAGAACAAGAACGGATTCAAAGAGTTAATAGTGTAGAACCAAAAATATTGAACACTACAAAATAGCAATTGAAATACGAGTTTTAAAAATAAACGTTAAGGAAAATATAAACGAATGGAGGCGAGAGTATGATCTCTTTCCTTAACTCTTTGAATTGCCCGTAGTGCGACGGGTTTCTGTAATTCAAGAGTCGCAGGATACAACCAAACTTATCCGTTTTCAACAGCACTAAGAAACACAGATCTAAACGAACTATAATTCTATTATACTCTCGGTAGAAGACTTACGAAAAATAAAAGAGAGAGAGAGAGAGACTGTTGAGAGAATTTCTGAGATGAACAATGAGAGGTGTAAGGTCTAAAAAATGAGAGAAAAGTCGTGTATATATAGCGGAGGAAGAAACTTGAGCAGTCTCAAAAAATCCCAAAAAAATCCCAAGAAATCCGCTAGTCAACACGAATCTCGGCCATAAATTTAGCGTAGTCAAAGGCGAGAAATCAGCAATCTGTGATTAATCACAATCTGATACTTTTTTGAAGGGATAATGAATATCCAATATTCTCTTTGACTGAATCAAAAACATATGCAGAAAGTCAACATAAAACGTTGACCAAAACGCCCATAAAAATATGGCCCAAAAAGAATACTCGCCTTAGGCCCGAAAGCCCATTCGACCAACACGACCAACACGACCCGCGCCCGCGCCCGGCCCGGCTCGGCTTGGCGGCGGCGGCGGCGCGCGCGTGGGGCTTATTCTTTTCTCTCTCACATGTTTTGAACATATATAAAGCATATCTTAATATATACTACAGATTTTCCCACTAATCCACCAATGTGGGACAAAACCACTTACAACACACTTCATTTCATCTTCACCCTTAATGGACTCAATAATTTCGGCCCAACAAAAGAAACTGTAGAATGTGAGCAAAATTTTCTGATGTCTTTCATTTCAGTGAATGAGGTACGAAAACGATAAATTATTCTACTCTAAATGTTTTTAAACCCGAACCGGACTAGCGGTCAGACCAGGTTGAACCACGAACCGAAAGTGTAGCGGGGTTGAGTTAAAACCGGATTGAACCGTCAAAAACTGAAAATTGGCTAAACTGATAAACCGTATTAAAACCAAATTCAACTAAAAAAAAACTTAAATCATGTTTGTTTTTTACGTTTTTTAAGAGGTAACAAGTTAATTTGATTTTTGTTTAATTATTTTACTTTTAAAAATAAAAGATAAGGTTTCTAAATCATAACTCTTTTATACTTCTTTTGGTTTTTTTTTTCTAAATCTATATACAATTATTTTAAAAATATTATCAAACCCGGTTGAACCCGATTAACCATACTAACCCATGACCCAAAAGTTTTCCCGGTTCAGTCAGCGGTCCGGTTTTAAAAACATTGTCTAAAACCGTAAGTAAGCAACATAAAAAGTGGAAAATGAAAACCAGAAGCATGCATTATGCATATATATATATATATATATATAGATAACAACTTACCCTAAGTATGTATATTTTCCTATATAATTTTTAATTCACTTTTTTCATTACCAAAATTATATTACTTATCTTCTCGATGTTAATTTTTCTTTTCTAAATTTGATATTCAGTTTCCGTTTAGATAAAGTAACGTAAGGAACTAACCGAGATCAGTAGCCGCCAATCTAACGTAGAGATCCTGACCTCCCTTGGCATAATTCCGGATATCAAAAATCTCTCCGGTCCAAATCACACAACCCGACCCGCCATCTCGGATATCCGTATTCGCAAACGCCGTACAGTTACAATCCTTCTTGCACTTCTCTTCACATTCTTTCACACCAATTCCTCTGTCCACACTCGTCGCCGCAGTATCCGGCAACTTCATCTTCTTCAACCGCAAAAACCCATATCCACCGTCGCAGCTAAGTTGCGTCTTCCTCACGCAACCATCCGATCCATCTCTTAAACCCCAAACCTGCGGATTCCTCGGTTCAAACCCTTTTATACAATTGCAAACCGGTGACGTGTTCGAGTCGCAGTAACTGTAAGTCCCACACTCTTTGTAGTCATCGCACTGGTCTTTTGGTGCATACCAGAACTGGTTCCAGTTCTGTGCTGTCTCAATCCAAGTGAATCTTTGTAATGATCCCGTGGAACTTAGGCTTAATCTTGAGTAGATGTTGTCTTTGGTGACTCGGAATGAGTACGTCACTTCTTCATGACTCGCCGTGAAATTGAAAACCATGTAATCAAACGTTTGCATTTCCGGTACACCACTAAACCGGATTCCATTCCATGGACCGCTCCGGTACACTCGTGACTCTCTGTTCCATAGGAAAACCTCAGGGAAACCTCTGGTTTCGAGTTTGAACGAGAAATCTCCGCTTGAAGGATCATCTGGATTTTTCCAGGATCTCAAGAATCTGTTGTATCCGGTTTTGAGATCCCAACCTAGTTTCATCTCCGGAAGTAAAGTATCCGTCGGAAAATCAAAACTCTGCCACAAAACTCTGTTGCTGGAGTCTCTGAGCACGAAATTACCGTTATCGAGAAGCTCTACAAACACCGGAGATCTCACATCACCTCCGGTCAGATTCGTCAACCAAACTGGTGTATCGAACTGATCCAAAACGACGAGGTTGTTGTCGGAGATTTTGAGAGTTCCGATGGAATTAGAAAGAGGGTTGTCTCTGTTCGCAACCCAAACGTAGGTTCTCTTAGAGATTGCCTTGTACCAAATCCCGAGATACCAACGAGAATTTGAAGAGGGTTTGAAGAAACCAAGCTCGAAGATATTACCAGGAGATATAATGGTTTCGTTGCTTGAGATGGTCAGAGATTCTGTAGCCGACAAAGTGTTGGCAGAGAAAGAGAACGCAGGGAACAGAAATAAGACGGAGAAAACGGAGAAGAAGAAGGAGTAAGAATGGTGGTAGTTTGGTACACCTCTCATGTCTCTACACCACTTTCTTGTGTTCTTCTATTTTTTTTCTCTATCTCTCTTTCTCTCTTTCTTGAGAAAATTAGATGTGAAATTGAGATTATTTATTTCCTTTGGAAATATCGGACATATTTTTGTGTTTTATGCATGAACTTTTATTTACTCGATTTTATATTCATTGTCGTCAATTATACTTTTTTTTTATTTGTCAATAATACTTCTTTTCGGCTTTTCTTTTCTTTCTCTTGGTCTTCTTGTCCGCATTTCTAATAGTATCTCGACTACAATGTAGTAATGTACTATGTGTACAGTCGAATTGAGAGTTGACCTAGCAAATAAAAAGTCGTTCACATTTTTCATTTGTCAGGCTTCTTTTCCTTTTATGCGCGTTGTTTTTCTTTCTAATTTCACAATTATAAAAATTTGTTCTGACTTTTCTTTGTAATCTTTTTGATAAAACAACTTATATCAAAAGAAGAAATGCAGAAAACCATCTTCCAAATTAAGAAACAAAATACAAACATTTGATCTAAAAATGCAGAAAGTCTTCTCGTATCAAAAATCTAATCTTATCTAAATCATTACATTCTACGGTGTAAAATAAAGTTAACGGATAGAAAAAACATGTACTTTTTCTCAGTTTATTTTGTCAAATATCTAGAGAAACCTTTATCATATCAAAAAACCTTCATCTAAATTCTTAATGTTTATTGATGTTAAATAAGTTAACGGTTAAATAAAATAATGTGGGTTTTTTCTTCATTTTTTTTTGTCAGAGTGCTTTCCCTTTTCTAGTAGTTTTTCTTCACAAAGTCACATTGGTAAATGGTCATTATTTTTGTATTTTTGTTAATAAAATGACTTTTTTTTGCTTTGATTTTTTATCCCAAAATAATAATATCAGTCAACCGTTTCTGGTGTGTACGAGAGTTATATCAGTCTTATTTTGTACTCCTTTTAGTTTTTGTTACCTTCCCAATAAATAACTTCGATTCGTCGACCAATCCCAACTTCTTTTTTTTCGCATTCCCCGAAGACAAAAAGGAATGGGGTCGTTCCACGTTTCTCTTGACTTTTCTTTTCTCTATTCCTACAAGCTAATTTAATAACTGGTCAAACCCTTCACTCATTACCAAGAAGTACATTGTTTTATGCCTTTTGTTAGATGGTTTTATATACTCCGTAAACAACATCGTTAAGTTAAATCTTCACTAACCAAATATATTTTTGTAGAATGTTGAAAGACATAACTATCAAAGTCAGCGTTACAAAGTCTTGGCTTTGAACATCTACAAATATAAAAGATTCTTCATTCCCCGTTAGATTATCTATCTATATCACTGTAGTCTATATAGACTATAGATATAAATTGTTTAATCAAAATCACATGTTTAATCAAATTACATAACCTGACGATGTTTGGAAAATAGATATTTAGTCAAATAGTTATGTTCGCGCTTCATCTTGAATTAGAAAGCCAACTGTGAACAATGCGGAGCCTATAGCGACATAAACGATATAAGACCAATAATTCTTAACGGTAAAACTGATTTCCTGGCTCGTATTATTCTTTGTTTGCTAGTACTTACTTGTCACAATGGTTAGTGAATGTAAACAACATATTTGCATAATCAAAGAAAAAAAAATTGTTGTTAAAAAAATAGTCGGATTGTGTAAAAGATGGTTAGTAAGCAATGTAAACGATATCATAATCAAATCATCCATACATTTCACTCTATTAACATAATTTCCACAATCAATATTCCATTATCCTAATTAACTAAATAAATAAATAAAAACTATACGTTTTCAAAAGAATTATAAGAAATCTTAATCTATCGTCCAAGAACAACAGTGGAAGTGATCTCGTTAGAAGAAACAATGTATTGTTGGCTCGAATCAAGAGCAAAGTTGACATCAATGGAGTTTCTTCTGTTGGAAGTAAACGTTGGTTGTCTTGGCGCAGCGAGCATCGCTGTGTCACTCTCTAACATCAGCAAAACTGCAGCCATGTTCGGTCTCTCCGCAGCCGAATCTTGAACACATAGCATCGCTACGTGTATGCATCTCAAGGCCTCACGCTTATTGCACGTGACCCTAATCTTTGGATCCACAAGCTCCTCGGATCTCCCATGAGTATACAGATACCAAGCCTGCAAGAATTTCAGTTTCCACCAGTAAGGCCACATAAACCAAACCAAAAAAAAGTGGAGGAAAACCGATGAAATTTGTATACAAACCGGTTGTGTGTTTAGAGGATATAATAAAAACAGAGTCTTTACTCTGTTTTGGGGGAACTTACATAACCAATGAGACTTCCATGTTCAGAAGATCGAAGACTTGTGTTCCTCTTCCCACTTATGATCTCTAGCAACAAGACACCGAAGCTATAAACATCGGATTTCACTGAGAAAAGTCCTTCCATTGCGTATTCTGGAGACATGTATCCGCTACATTTACAAAAAACCAAAAGTAAAAAAAAAATGTTAAGAACATGATTTCTATGTCATCAGATTTGATATGTTTTTATTTTGTGAATTGTGTATTTTACTTACTAAGTTCCAACGACGCGAACAGTGTTAGCTTCATTTTGGTTTCCACCGAAGATCCTCGCCATACCAAAATCCGAGATCTTTGGATTCATCTCTGCATCTAACAACACATTGCTAACCTTCAAATCTCTATGAATGATTCTCAATCTTGAATCTCTGTGAAGATAAAGCAATCCTCTCGCAATCCCTTCAATTATCGCAAACCGCAGTTTCCAGTCTACCAACGCTTGTTTCGTTTCATCTGTACATTTGAAAGAACAAGAATTAGATGAATATTTAGCAGGAAAATGACTTAATTCTTTTTTCTTGAGATTTTCTAAAGAAAACATACCAAAGATGAAGAAATCTAAGCTTTTGTTAGGCATATACTCATATACAAGCATTTTCTCCTCGCCCTCGAAGCAACATCCAAGTAATCTCACAAGATTCCGATGTTGAAGCTTCGCAATGAGAATGATCTCATTCTTGAATTCATCAACTCCTTGTCCAGATTTACCAGATAATCTCTTCACAGCGATCTCTTGTCCATCTTCAAGAACACCCTGGCCAAAAGAAAAAATACATTTCAATCATCAATAAAAACATCTCAAAATTTGAAACACAAAGACTAGGACTAGAAAAAACAGCTGTAATCAATCAAACCTTGTAGACTGGTCCGAATCCGCCTCTTCCAAGCTCATTCTCTCTACAGAAGTCATTAGTAGCTTTCACTATAACGTTCAGACAGAAAACTGGTAACTCTGATGTGTTGACCGCTTTTCCTTCAATCATTATATCGACTGATCCTGAAAACGCCGTCGTGGTTTCTTTGGCTTTGGTCATATCAACAACAACAACCGATGTATCGGTGCTCTTACAACAATATGTTCCTGAAGCATCTGCAAATGATAAAGGGATGTGAATCAATAAGCTCCTACGCTTTGGTAATAAAACTAAGAAGTTTAGTGAGAAGAAATTTTGTACCTTTCTTTCTTTTGAATCTCCATAGAAGCAGAGCAAATAGTCCTAACAGAATCACACCAACAAGAACCGAGACAATCACCACAATCTCGGACTTCTTCTTGTTCCCTATTTCAGAATCAGCAAGACGGATATGAAGCGAAGATCCACCAGCGTCAAACTGCTGTAAATCTACCAAATCTTGGTTCCAAATCATGCATCCAATACCACCAACAAAAGTGAAAGCAGTGCAAGAACAATTCCTCAAGCATCTATCTTTACAATCCTCAGGATCAACAAGATTATGCTCAGGAGTTTCGAAATCAGGCAACTTCACAGATTTCAGAGTCAAGAACTCATCTTCTCCAACACTAACGTTCCTCTCCACACTTCAAAGGAGTTCTTCTTCTGCAACCTCTACTCCAATTCCCTACAGAAAC